AAAACTCAAAAAATAAGTTTTTAAATCTATTTTCTCGGCAAAATTAAAGTTTTAGTTAATTATATTATTAATCAAGTAAAATTTCATTTTAATTAGAATGAAATTTATTTATTTTACCTCTGAATTTATTATTCACGTCCAAAAATAGACAAAAAGCACCAAAAAACATTTTTTGATGAATATTTCTTTGATAAAATTAAAATTTAAGTAATTAAATATTATTAATCAAGTAAAATTGTGCTTCAATTAGGAATAAATTTATTTATTTTACTTTTAAACTCACATTCGCATATTTATTCAGTTTATTTACATTTAATTAATGTAATTCGGAGTTTTTCACTCCCGTATGACGAAAATATTTTTTACAGCGAGCAAAGGTTGCGCCAAACCGGCAACTTTTTCGGCGATCAATCATTTAATTACGTTTTAATTTGAGTGTGCCTCGGATTATAAATAAGGGTCACCTTTTTATTCGCCTCCCACACACACAACATAAAAAAAATTCGCATACAGCTTGTTCCTCAAGCAATAAAATTTGTAATCGATTTGGTGTCATGTGTTTCATCCCCGCATTAGTATTTCAGGGATGACGCTGAATTTAGCTGCGGAAAATTCGAAATTCCGAGAACGGTGTCAATGTTGTATAAGTGTCGGTTAAATGTGTCCTCGAAATCCGCCCTTCTCACAAAGTAGGCATGTAGTGATAACCCGCAGCTTTCAGTCGTATACCGAGTGTTTTCGAATAAAATAATATGAAATTATTAATTTTGATATGATTGAATAGCGAACACGCTGTATGTTGTGTTATATTATATTAGAGTATCCCTAGTAAAGCGAATGTTGAATGGTCGCTGATAGTATTAGAACTTGAAGGGAGACGACGGTATTATTCGAGATGCTATCAAAAGGGATCGGCGTTGTGCGAAAGTGGAGTATGAACTCTTTCGGCTGTGGCGCGTGTTTTCGTGAGGTGAATCTTTAATCATGACCTATATCTGTATTATTAAATCCGGATTCTCTAAAAATAGAACGTTTTTTTGCTTCTTTCGCTAAAATAAACACAGATTTTATTTGCGTAGAAATTATTTTTATCGTGTTATAATATTTTTAATTGTTTTTTGTGGTTTTTGATGTTTTTTCTCTTTTTTGAAAAAAATTTGCAAGAAATGCATTTTTTCTATTATAAATACAATTTTTATTTCATCAGCAATTATTTTAGTAATATATCAAAAATATTTTATTTTTTTGCAATTTTTTTCTTTTTAAAGAAAATATTTGAAAAAAAAAAGTTTTTTTTTTTCTTTTTGGGGAAATATTTCTCAAAAAATTCATTTTTCTAAAATAAACTTAACTTTTATTTATCCAGCAATTATTTTTTTAATATTTTAGTAGTATATTATTGATATTTAATAGTTTTTCACATTTTTTTTTTCTTTTTGAAGAAATTTTTTCCAAACCAAATCCTTTCTAATTCTTTATATGCCCACTTATTATCTTTTTTAATCTGGTATTAACACATTAAAAGTCCTTAACACGTGTCATCCTGTATTTTAGATTTTGTAACAATGGTTACTCCCTCCTCGGGTCCGATTTTTTGCAAACTCCAAGCAGTATAGCTGCCGCAGTCACTTTTTCTCCCCTGACGTATTTCCTTGACGTATCCGATAAAATATTTTGCGCCGCCATAATATTTTTTCTTTGGCCTGAAAGCGCGCGTCACGATTACTGATGGCCGAGCAGAGCTCGCCTTTGCTTTTAAAGTTTTAGCGCGCGTCGCTATTTCACTCACCGACGCGATGCACGTAGAAGTAGAGGGTGGAAAAGCTTAGCACGGGAAAGACGCCGAAAGGAAATAGAGAACCGCAAGCGAAAAGAAAACCTTTATACTTATTGACACGGGTGGCAAACGGCGGCAACCTCTCGCATTCTGCCGCAGCTTGCGATAAGAACATTAAAGTGTAACTCATACCTTGCAGTATCAAAGCTTAAAAAGTTTCAAAAAAACCCGAAAAGAAGATAAGTATTGGTGTACTCGTAGAATGTGAAATTTTGTATTTGAAAGCAAATTGATTTGCCGTGAGCAGTGCCGAAAACCTCAATCGCTCTAATTAATTAATTGATCGGCTTTATATTGCCGCCCCCACACAGCATATGCTCGCCGTTGTGGTATTCAACCGCCTCAGCTGCAAGCGGCCCTAACTTGATACTAATGGCCGAGCATATGGCCCCAAAAAACCGCAGCCTCTATCGATTTAATTGTAACGTGTTAATGCGCTGCGCCCAATTCGTTTAGGCCATTAATTTTGTTTTGTTTGCCTCGTGTGACACGCACCGGAATACGGTTATAATTAGAATAAATTGACAGCTTCAGTTACACTACAATAGGCAACACACAATACACACAGATTCAACTTAACCAAACCTAACGTTTTTTTTTCCAAGTTTCAGCTTGTAAAATCCACCAAAACGGCTGAATTTTCGCAAAATCTGGAACGCATTACAAAACCACTGATTTACGATATTTCCACGCTGGGACTATGTATGAGAGAGTAAGACAACAGCGGCGGCGAAACAAGATGAAATGGGTCGAAATTGGACGCAAACCGCGAACCTAATGCTTGTTTGCTCGCTGCCATTGCCTGTTATAACTAATGCGAACTAAATTAAACGTACATTGCCGACAATGGAACTAATCCCTGAGCTCACGGTCTAAATTTGTCACTCAACTCCACTCAAAAGGTATCTGCGAGGCAATAATATACATATTCATATTATAATCTCATTAAATTCAATTTTTACACAGCGAAATAACGTAGATTCATTGATAAACACGTTATTGAATGCAGGCGCACGCATTAGTTAACAATAATAAATAATATCATATAACTGCATGTTGTACGATATTGTTATTAACGTAAATTGAATATAATTCACCTAGGGCGTAATCTGAGTTCAAATGGATGCTTGTGTCATTGACCTAAAATCAAAGTGGCATTTTTTAATAGAAATTTAATTGAAGGTTGGTGACATTTTGCATTATTATTATTTTGTTGGATATAAAATGTTTAAAATTATTTGTTTTCAGTGTTTTCTTTGTTAAATGTCTAATTTTTATTTTTTCTGATTTTAGGAGAAAAAATCAATCATTTTCGAAGTTTTAACATGAAATCTTCAAATAGTCGAGAAAACACAATTTTCATGAATTTTTATTATTATTTTGGGTATAAATGCTTAAAAATTATCATTTTCAGTGTTTCTGAAATGTTTAACTTTCTTATATTTTTTCTAATTTCAGACCAAAAAAATGTAAGATTTTCAATGTTTTAAACTAAAATCCTCAAAAAAGGCCGAAAAAGGCAATTTTGCTTTATAATTTTTCTTCTGTTGAGTATAAAAGTTTAAACATTTTTGTTTTTCTGTGTGTGTATTCATTGAAGGTTTAATATAATATATTAATATTTTTCCAATTCTAGGTCAAAAATGTGAAATTTTCAAATTTTTAAAGTGAAATAATCAAAAAATTCAATAAAAGAGCGATTTTATTCTTATTTTGGGCATAAAAATTCAAAATATTATGTTTTTCAATGTTTTTATATGTTAAATGTTTAACTCTCTGATTTGAACTCCCTATTTGAAATGAAAAAACCTGAAATTCATTCAAAGTTTTCCCCCAATTTCTTGAAAAAGGTACAAAAAACACTTCATTCCAATTGAAAGCGATTTTCCTCTCACATCCTTGGTACGTATTTCGGTATTCCATTTCCGGATCATTAGGTAACTGGTAACTTTTCTTTGCCGCAGCTAAATGCTCCATTATACATCATTTCTTGTATGTTTCTCCTGGTTTTTACCAAGGCGCCACAAAAGAAAAAGATTTCGCGGCGGAATACGAAATTTTGGTCGTTCTCATGCGACACACACTCTCGGAATATTCGCGGAAGGCGCGTGACAGCGACGTATTGTAGTTGCGAAGCATAATGCATAAATAACCGCTGAAAGTGCGAACCGATTTTCGTCTCACGTTCGATTAAACTTTAAAGGCGAAACTTTTCAAATTTTCAAACGCCCTAGTTTCACTCTGACTAAGGCAGTGACTGTCGTTTGCCAACAGAGTAAAAAATAAATAAAGAGGAAAGGAAACTCAACTTGTTTAAAATGTTGAGTATTTTTGGTAATATATATTTAGCTAAAATGGCAGCCATACAATTAATTTGTTTACCTATATTCATAATATCGATAATGACTATGAGTATCCTATTATTTCCATTAGCGACTGAAACGTAAACGTACATAATGCTCTAATTAAATCGTTAATACTCTTGCTCATTGATGTCTGCTCGTTATATTCCCTATTAGAGTCTAATTAGTCTTCCAATGTAACAAAACTGAAAATAGAACACATATTCTATTATATTACCAGAAACAAAATAATAAAAAATTTGTTTCTGCCTACCAGAACATTGAATGCGACGAATTTGTAAATAAAACATTCACAAGATAAGAAAATAAGATTTTTATGCGTAAATAAACGCGAAAACAGACAACTATCGCCACCTATGTATCTAAACAATCACTAATAACCAAAACAATATAAATACTTGCTTATATCTATCACATCATTGACTGTGAAGATAAGTGAATATAAAATATTCACAAAATAAGAATATAAGATGTTTATGCATAAATAAAACAGAAAACGTACAACTATGGCCACCTATGAGTGCAATTAGTAACTAATAACCAAAACAACCAAAAAAACTTGTTTATACCTACCAACGCATTATACGTGTAGATTTGTGAATGTAAAATATTCACAAGACAAGAAAATAAGATTTTATGCATAAATAAAATGGAAACCATACAACTATGGCCACCTATGTATGCAAACTGTAACTAACTTGTCAATAAACTTGCACCACGTACGATTATGAATCTAAAACCATGACGAATCGAACTAGAGTACAAAATCCACGGTCAAAGTTATATAAATATTGATAACAGCGGGTTCGCTTTACTAGAGACATTCAAACATTCTAGAAAGCGTTAAATTTCACGTTTTGTGCGTGTAATACGCACGCGTGCTTTTTAAAAACTTGCGTGTTTTCACGCGTTTTTTAACTGTACCTAGAATGTGTAGATGGTGATACCTTGTAGGATCTTAGATAATGTCGCGATTCGCATCGCACGTGTTAACAAGCCGGTCGTTTTGTAGGTTTTGCACCTCCGGAAGTAAAAGTAATAAGCGAGCGACGCTCGAGTTGCTTTCTACGCAGGAACAAATTCGTCGCCGACCTCACCTCTCGCCGCTGCGCGTGAACGCGAACGCAAACTCTGTCAATTCTCTCGTGGCGCATTCGCGTTCTATTCACCGTTCCTACACGACGTCGAAACCTCTAGCAGCTGTAGCAATGTCTCAATTCACCACCATCGAACGCGGTGCTCCCAACACCACTGATTATCGTGTTTATATTAGTAAGTTACAACTTATAATTTATAATACTTACAATGTGCGCGAATAAGTTGCATAACCTCATTGAATTTTTAAATCTTAACGCATATGTTAACAGGTGATGGAAACGGTCCAATCTCACCACTGCACGACATTCCCTTGTACGCTGATGAAGAGAAAAAGACTTTCAACATGCTGGTGGAAGTTCCAAGATGGACGAATGCCAAAATGGAAGTGAGTTCTATGCAGAAAAAAAAGTTTAAATTTCATTGCTACCAATTTTTTATTGCGTTTATTACCAGATAACACTAAAAGAATCCCTAAATCCCATCAAACAAGACGTGAAGAAGGGTAAACTGCGTTTCGTTGCGAATTGCTTCCCTCATCATGGCTACATCTGGAATTATGGAGCCCTGCCACAAACCTGGGAGAATCCTGACCATCTTGATGATGGAACTGGTTGCAAGGGTGACAATGATCCCATTGATGTCATTGAGATTGGCTACAGGGTTGCAAAACGCGGCGAAGTAATTCAGGTGAAAATTTTGGGCACCATTGCACTTATCGATGAGGGTAAGTTGAATTTTCATGAATAATTCACCGATGGCATGTTGGATGTTGAGTTAATAGAGCTTAATGGACAAACAATGTTCAATTTACTCGCTTAACCAATAGAATTAGTGTAGTAAATAAGTGTAATTAATTTGCGTTTCGTCCTGGTTTTATCCTTGACAATATACATAATTTATAGGATAATACATCCTTTGTAAATTCTTTCTTGACATGCAACTGGTAATAATTCATTTCCTTCAAGTAGAAATCAATAACTTTCATTGTCTGCAGGTGAAACTGATTGGAAGCTTATTGCCATCGATGTGAACGATCCAATTGCGGATCAAATGCATGATGTTGCTGATGTGGAGAAACATTTCCCTGGTTTGCTGAAAGCATCTGTGGAATGGTTCAAAATCTACAAGATCCCTGATAATAAACCCGAAAATCAATTCGCGTTTAATGGTGAGGCGAAACCAGCCGCATTTGCTTTGAATGTCGTCGAAGAGGTAATAATATTAATCCATGGGAAAATACAATTATCACATAACATATAAATCATCATCATGATAAGCGTAATCTTAAGTTTGATTGTAATCTTGATCCGGAATCAAGGACAAACATCAAGTGGCTATGTTTACAACTTGAACTTGACTTGTACCATGTTGTAACACTTGTCATTGTAATCATTCGTTTGATTATTGATTAGGTTCACAAGTTCTGGAAGCAGTTGGTCAATAAAGAAGTGGATGGCAAAGGAATTTCTTGGTAAGTTCACAATTTAAGTTTAAAAAATGCAAAAATTATGCTATTTTATGTATAAAGTTCGAATGTGACAATTGATGGAAGTCCATTCAAAATCTCCGAAGAAGACGCTAAAGAAATCGTGGCTAAAACACCCGGAACTGGCCCGGCTGAACCAATTGAACCCATTGGTAAGTAAAACATGCCTTTCATTCACTTTTTATCTGCTTTACTACTAAACTTAAGTTGATTTTACTCGTTTAACATATAGTTGCGTTGTTTCTGTACGTTTTATCATTTCAGTTGATAAAGTGCACTTTGTCTTTGTGAAGTCACAACTGTAGGCGGTGTACGTAGCAGTTTTCTTATCTTTTAATTTTAGTTTATGGAGATAATGATTAAAATTACATCATTTCTTTGCAGTGGATAAATGGCACTACGTCCATCTGAAGTAAGCCGTGATGGCGGAGTCAACGAACGCATTTCTACCTACCAGCACCACAAAAAATGCATTTAAAGATAGTTTAGTGATAAAAACTCACTGGGCACTGGATGTAAATGCATACGTGTTATTGTTATCGTATTTAATAGCGACTAAGGAAATATAGCTGTTTTGTGAGGGTCATTATGGTTTCCGGAAGGTGTTTTAGTCATTTTCATTGCACCCAACCTCAATTTTACTTAACTTAAGTCACATTGTATTTTATTACCAGTTTTGTGGAGTTTGTGTTGAAATATTTACTAAATCCGGTGTGCTCATTGTTGATTTACTACGAAAATATGGCCGTGTTCTATGTTTTTCTGCTTGAACGCCAAAATTACGTTTTGGGGGTGATTTTAAAGGGTTACAATCAGTCTTAAGTAAGGTATCATGAGTTTCGTCAGTTAAAATTAATGCTATGCCATTGTCTTCATGTATTATTGGCTCTTTTTTGATAAAAACCTCTTCAAACAGCAATTTCTACAAAGACTGCTCCAAATTAAATAAGAAAAGTGCATTGCGACGACATCTGTAGAGTAAGATTTGATTGAGCTACTTATAGTAATCGGAATACGTGTGAACTTGGCGCGTTTACACGCACACAGTCTCTTTGCCATATAAAAAAGGTAAACTCACTGACATATATGCATAAGGCACGTACCCAAATGCAAAACGCAGAGCCTCCCAGAGATGGAGCAACAATGCACGTTTTTACTTAAAATAGTCACGCAATTGTTTTGCGTAGTTATTACATCGTTTACTATTTTTGTCTATTCCTCACAGTTTTATCTTATTTCACACTTGATATCATACGAAGTCAAGTAATATTTACTTGAATGAACAAATTTATATTCAATTCAATTCAACTCTGCGTTATACTTTCTAAGCGCTTCAGAGATGGCACTAGAATGCACGTTTTAACTTAAAATAGTCACGCGTTTGTTTTGCGTTGTTATTGCAACGTTTTGTAAACATTACTATCGCAAGAGTGAGTTTTTGTCTATTCCTCTCAGATTTATCTTATTTCAAACTTGATATCAAGCAAAGTCAGGTAATATTTACTACAATAAACAAAATTTATACACAATTCGATTTCAATCGAATAAAATTTAAAATAAAATCATGATTGATGATCTGTCCATAGAAATTAAATGGTTAACAGTTTAAACAATCAAAAGAAGTCCTCGCGGTGAACAAAACGCTGCTCGTCTAGTATCAGGCATTCGCGAGCATGTGGCGCATATAATAAAATCGATTCGCGTTCTTAATGGTTTTGAGCGAGCTGGCGCGTCGCGGCGCCGCGGCGTTGCGCACCCGCTGCGGATTCTTCGCGCTTGGCGCGCACCGTCCTCCCACGCCGGGCGCGCGCGCGTATGATAAGGAGGCGCTTATCGCTCGCCACTATGTTAACGCATTGCAGGGCTTGCGGCCGGTGGTCTCCACGCCGACGGGCCGAAGAGCGAAGGAAGGAGGCGCGCCGAGAAAGCGCCGCACAGCTCGCCGCACCGGAGAACGTCCCGAGCGTGTGTGCCGTCGACCAGCGCGCGCCATCGAAGACGAAGAAGTGCTCCGGTATCGTGTGACCGCTCAAAACAGTTCCCAACCAAGTTAACCAAAAGGATAATTATTGATAGATTAAACACACTCGCACGATTGGATAGGGTGGATTATTTCGTGCGCGTGAGGGACTTGTCATTGTCATCATCGCCATGAAGGTGCAGGCGCTCGTTTTGATCATCGCGGTGGTCGCCTATCAGTGCGACGCGAAGCACAAAAAGAAGTTTGATGGTGATTTTGAGTTCGCCGAAGAGGTAAACAAAAATCAAATATCAAAGAACTTGTATTTCATTCCACAATTAGTATTAAGACGTTTTAAAAGGGGGTGTAACACATTGTCAACAGCACAATACAATTTTATTTGACATATTTATCGGAAGACGTACAAAAAAGACCACTTGAAGGTCCGACACCTGTTCATGCTACCGTGCTACTGTGTGAATATTTTTTTAATGAATTTCATCAAAAAAACACAAAAATTTTCGTTTTTTAAACGTTTTATGATAGAAATTTAAACTTAATTATGATCTAGTATTTGTTTTGGTGTTTCTCCGGTGTTTCTCTTTGTGGTATGCGTCTTGCTGCTTGCTCTTTCTTTATATTTCGAGGATGCCTGTGAAGGCGCAAAGTGCAAGCGCTCAGCGCCAAGCGGTCAAGCAGGTTCTTCGACTCCGAAAACCCATAGAGTTTTCGTTCTCGTGTTTTGTATGTATATTACATATACTGGATGAGATTTTTATCTCGTGGAGAATATTAGTATTTCATCCATTATCAACTTTTCACTTCGTTTACTCTTCGCGCTAAACCAGCAGCAAAGAATCCTCGCGATGAAGATAAAATGAATATTTGTTCATAAATTATCTTTCTATGTATATATTCAAGATGTGCATGCAGTGGCTGTGGAGTTATTCAAATAAACAAGAAGCGAACGTGATCAGTTATAAATTCACTGTAATTATCACTTACTCAACATATAAATTAATACAAAAATAATAACGATTACACACCCGTAGAATTCGGGGAATAAATTTCTGGTCGAAATTGAATTACTCACATTGACCCTATGACCTCCTGAACATGTTTGCGCGTGTAATTTCGTTAGTGATTTCGTGCGCGGTGGTCGCGTCCTTCATGTTGCTTGTATTGTGTGGTGTTGTCCGGGGTGTACCTGGGTGGTACCCGCCCTTAGGCGCGAGGTCGCACACGAACATTTCACATTTCACGTTGGCTTCGATGTTGTTATAGTTGGTAGGCTGGTACTACTGGTATAAGCTATGTTGTGAAATGTGAACATCGTTTGGGGCTGGAGGGACTCTGGAGGAGGGTCATGTGTGTGGTGGTCGATGTGGAATGAGCTTTCGATCGCCGCGCGCGGTTTAATGACGCTGTGTGTGCTGCGAATTTTACGATGTAATAACAACGCGTGGGTTTCGCGAACCGCAGCCGGTGTTGTTTGTCTTTCGGCTGCACCTTGTTACGTTGCAGGTTACAGGTTACGTGTTACATGTCATATGAGTCCCACGAGTCGGTGGTAATATTAGTTACTGATTACTGTTCATACAGGGCGGATATACTGGGAAAAATTTATGTTTTTTGTCGTTTTTGGGAGGATACAAGAAAATTTAAAGATTGTTTTGATTTGTGGTTGTAGATGATGTAATTATGTATCTATTAGAACAAGAATTGTTGATGAATGACTATTAGTTTGGAAATTATAGTAATTTTAGTTTTTTGAAAGAGTATGTATTAAAAAGGGCTTTTTTGATTATTATTGATATTTATACACTGAAAACTTTAAAATTGGTTACATGCAAATTAAAATATAACTGATAATTTGCAATAATATAAAAACTGTAAATCGTTCTTGAAGAAAATGGGAAATTATTAAAATTGACGCAAATATTGACATAAAATTGACAATAACTTGGAAATTAAACAAGATAGCGAAATAATTGTGGCTTCTATCGATAGATCTAACCAAAAACCTTAAGATTAACTATAATAAAATAAAAATATTGTTTATAATCAGCCATAGTCTATGAAAAAATAAGTAAAAAGAGGGCAAAAATGCAAAATTGTCTGAAAACTGATGTTAAATTCTTCTATAACTCCAAAACTATAAATGATAGAATAACAAATTTGATATCAATTGAAAGATCACAACAAAAACTATAAAATATGTTTTATATAAACTTCTATATTTAATTATCTTATCAGTAATATAAAAAAATATGGTCAATTTTTACGCAAAATTAAATTCTAGCAATTTTCAATGAATTACAACAAAATGGAAAGGTTATTTTATTATACAGCTACGTTTATATATTTATTAAAACAAAAATGATTAATTTATAATCTAATATTCTATTTTTAATCAATATTTTACAAAATGAAACACTAGTCTTCCAACGCCACAAAAGCAAACAATGTTTTTTCCCTGGTAACTATAAGCTGCACTTCATTCATTGGGCTTCAATCAACGCGCCACTTCAATCGCGCACATATTAAACGCCAGATATGAGCATGTCTAGCCAGGAAGCATCCTTCATCGTGATTTCTCCGCCGCATACAGTCCAAGTGCGTTCAACCCGAGGGTGGTTCTAGTCCCTAGAATGCCAGGATATTGTTCGCGGGTGAAAGCCACTCTAAATAGAAGTTGTTTATTGAAGTGCTCCACTGCATTTAAGCTGCGCTGGCATCGACCCTCAGACTCAGACTCTTCACGTGCATATATAACTTCCGTGTGGGCGAATACCACGCAAAGTGACAGGTCAGACACTTTAGACAGTTGCATTGTTCATGAATTTCTTCAAAACAACATCAGACTTCTATAAAACCAAGAATAAATGCATTCTTTTTAATTTTCAACGTTAATTGAGGTTGGAATTAACTAGCTTGTTTATTAACATTAACCTAATTTCATAATACAGGTGTACGCTTACATAGAACATGAAGAAAATCGATTTTCATGAATACACGCCATGAATAAAGTTTATTACACGTAGTTTTCTATTTGCTTATAATTATTATTTCAAAAATACGTTTGTTTTGTTAAAAAATCGTTATTTTACTATTTTTAGGCATAAAATTGTACGAAATAATATAACTGGTTTGAAAAAATTTAAAAAATTTAAAAAATGTGAAATTGCAAGAAAATTACGTAAAATTTGACTGAAAATTGAATATAACTTCCAAACTAAACAAGATAGCAAACTAATTTTAATTTCTACCAATTGATCTTATCAAAAACCTTAAGATTAGCTATATTAAAATTAAACTGTAATTTATAATAAGCTATAATTTATAAAAATAACAAAAATGGTGAAAATTCAAAATTCTGCAAAAACTGATGTTAAATTTGTCCATAACACCTGAAACTAACAATGATAGAAGAACAAATTTAGTGTCAATTGTTAGATCTTAATCAAAACTTTAAGATTGGCTTTATATAAATTAAAATATAATTTATAATTAGCCACAATCCACAAAAACCGTGCAAAAAGGCCAAAATCCAAAATTACGCAAATCTGATAGTAAATTTTTTATAACTTCTGAACTATTAAAGATAGAATAACAAATTTAGTATCAATTAATAGATCTCAGCAAAAACTTTAAGATTGGCTTGATATAAATTAAAATATAATTTATAATAAGCAACAATCACAAAAAATAGCTAAAAATATGACAAAAATGCAAAACTGTACAAAAATTGATACTTTTCATTGATTTTCATGAATACACCGCATGAATAAACTTTATTATATGTAGTTTTCTATTATATTGTACTATAACCTCAAAAATACTTTCGTCACATTTAAAAAATCGTTACTTTCCTATTTTTAGCCCTCGAATGGTACGAAATAATTTAAACGGCTTAAAAAAGTCAAATAAGTGGTAGTACAGTTTGTCCTTCATTCCATCGACGACCTTGCGCATTTACATTATATATTTAGCATGAAAAACGGGGCTGAAAACTTTAAACACTTTGCGCTCGGCCGCACGGCATGAAAATCGCTTTCGTATCGATTTATACAGAAAACATGCATATTTTGTGTCAACTTTGCGTTTAGTTACATTTACGTCTAACATTTCACCCTATTAATATACAATATGTTCTTTTCTATAAAAATTTAGGTTGTTTTTTAATATTTTCAAAAACACACTGTATAGTTCTCCGTATGGTAACATTGATAACATTTACCTTGAACACCACTATGGGTATGTTATTCGTATCGGGCTGGCGGTGTTCACATCAGAAAGTTTCCATGTTCGTTATACACGAATAAGTTATGCATAAGCATTGCCACGCCATGACGTGACGTGATCGGCGGCGAATCGAAACGAACGGAAATGTACCAGGAGAATTTTCACCCCTGGCGTGCGCGCGCGCCATCGCGGTTTTTCTTTTCTCTTGATTCGCCCCTGCAGAGTGGAGGAGCGCAAACGTGCCCGCGATTGAACCGCTGCGATAAAACGATAAACACGATAAAAAGCTAATATATGAAATGATTGATGATGCGTGCGAGGCGAGTTTCGCGATGCGGTGAGGAAGTAAGGAAGTCGGCGGTTGCTGTGCAGATTTTTGTTTGCTAACGCATAATATGCCAACATGGTGCCAAGCTGAATTTAATCGCAAGAAATAGATTTACTAATGTAATATGTGAAAATGTTGTGTTTTCGTGTGAACGTGCTTGAGAAAAATGGGAAATTATAAAAATCGGCGCAAAATTTGGTATAAAATTTGCAATAACTTGGAAAGTAAACAAGATAGCGAATTAATTTTGAAGTTAATCGATAGATCTCATTAAAAACCTTATATTTAGCTATATTTGAATTAAAATATAGTTTAAAATTAGCCATAATCCATAAAAACTTAGGTAAAAAATTGTCAAAATGCAAAATGACGCAAAATTTGATGATCAAATCTTTTATAACTCTGAAACTAAAATTGATAGAATAACAAATTTGATGTCCATCGATAGATATTGTCAAGAACTTTAAGATTAACGTCAAACAAATCAAAATATATTTTATACTTCGCCACAATACACAAAAAACTTGCAAAAAATTGGCCAAAATGCAAAATAACACAAAAATTGATGTTAAATTCTTCTATAACTCAAAAACTAAAAATGATAGAATAACAAATTTGATGTCAATTGATTGCTCTTATCAAAAACTACAAAACTTATTTTATACAAACTGTGAGTTTGTAATACCTTATCAGTAAAACTTAAAAAATCAAATGAATTTT